GTGTATCCTAGACTATATAGACACTGTATTAAACAATCAACCTTCCTGTCTGGTGTCTGCTTACCTTCTGCTCTCCTCTACTCGTCTACCCGGCTTCTCAAACACCGCTCCTGCGCCACCGCAAACCAGAGATCTTAACGCAACCTAGAGATCTAGACGCTACTACAGATCCAACACAAATCTAGAGAAATGATCACAACAGACTCTAGATATGTATCAAGATACTAGATAAATATTTTAACATAAACTAGAGATGTTAACATAAACCAGAGATATCAACATTAACCAGAGATTATAAACTAAAGATCTCAACATAAACAAGAGATCTTAACATAAACTAGAAATCTTAACATAAACTAGAGATCTGAACATAAACTAGAGATCTCAACATTAATTAGAGATCTTAACATAAACTAGAGATCTTAACATAAATTAGAGATCTTAATATAAAATAGAGATCTTAACATAAACTAGAAATCTTAACATGAACTAGATATCTCAACATAAACTAAAGATCTTAACATAAATTAGAGATCTTAACATAAACTAGAAATCTTAACATAAACTAGAGATCTGAACATAAACTAGAGATCTCAACATTAATTAGAAATCTTAACATAAACTAGAGATCTTAACATAAACTAGAGATCTCAACATAAACTAGATATCTCAACATAAACTAGAGATCTTAACATAAATTAGAGATCTTAATATAAACTAGAAATCTTAACATGAACTAGATATCTCAACATAAACTAGATAGCTTGACATAAATTAGAGATCTTAATATAAACTAAAGATCTCAACATGAACTAGATATCATAAACTTGACATCTCAACTTGTACTAGAGATCTTAACATAAGATAGAGATTTAAAATTGTGTGTTGACAAAATAGAGTAAAATTAAAAGTAGGTGTTAGTTCCACATTTTTTAGAAGATATATTTCGGCCTGAGTTTACCTTCTTCAGTTTTCAAGATATCATCATAATTAGATTCTGGAATTAAGTAAACTTAATTTGTTAAACGATTAAACCTGAATGAAGTAAGTTTGAAGTTTAAATTAATCAAACCAGAATTAAATAACTCTGAATTATAAAAAGTACATAAAAGTTAATACTGCACTCCAATCTCTCAACATAGGAATTACTAGTACCAGCCGTGTAACCTCATACCTCTTCTAGCTTTCATTTTTTAATGCAAAAAATGAGAAAAGCAACTACTTGTTTTGTTGGATTAAAGGACTTGTGGCTCTCCAGAAATTAAACAATGCAAACTAGATAGAGAAGGAGAAAATAAAATTAACGCAACATCACTAATACAACCTCCTAGCTTCTCTAGTTTTGATTTTATGCACAAGTATAAAGAAAGCAAATTTATTTAGTTATATATTAGAAATTAAATACATTTTAGTTTTTCTTAAAAACACTTCAATTATAGGAGTTATGATTGAAAACCTAAAAGATTTCAATATGATTTGACGTGTGAAATTGTGTTTAAAAATATGGAATATTCAAAACTGAAATAATATGAAGTTTCGTTTATTTTGCTGTATCTGGATATTTCTAGGATTATGAAGTTTAGTTTACTGTGCTGTATCTAGATATTACTAGGATTATGAAGTTTAGTTTACTGTGCTGTATCTAGATATTATACTAGGATTATGAAGTTTAGTTTACTGTGCTGTATCTAGATATTACTATGATTATGAAGTTTAGTTTACTGTGCTGTATCTAGATATTATACTAGGATTATGAAGTTTAGTTTACTGTGCTGTATCTAGATATTATACTAGGATTATGAAGTTTAGTTTACTGTGCTGTATTACTAGGATTATGAAAATATTCTGGTTTAACATGAGAAATGAGATTCCACCAGTTGCCAAGATAATGTTCCGATTCACCGCACAGTGAGTGCACCTGCTCTGTATACAGGGGGATCCAACAAATATGAGTTGTATTCACCTCCCAGGTATACAGATGGATCCAAAAAACATTAGTTGTATTCACCTACTCTGTATACAGGGGGATACGACAAACATGAGTATTTGTCTTTTCCTGCCCTTAATACAGGGAGATCCAAAACTTATCCTATAGAACTAAACCTAAGAATACCAATTTTACTAAACCTTCCTTCCAAACAAACTAAACTAATCTCACTAAAGCAAACTGAAATTGTCTCACTAAACCAAACTAAACTTGTCTCACTAAACCAAACTAAACTTGTCTCACTAAACCAAACTAAACTTGTCTCACTAAACCAAACTAAACTTGTCTCACTAAACCAAACTGAACTTGTCTCACTAAACCAAACTGAACTTGTCTCATTAAACCAAACTGGACTAATCTCACTAAACCAAACTAAACTTGTCTCACTAAACCAAACTGAAATTGTCTCACTAAACCAAACTAAAATAATCTCACCAAACCACACTGTACTAATCTCACCAAACCAAACTGGACTTATCTCACCAAACCAAACTGAACTCATCCCTCCAAACCAATCTGAACTCATCCCACAAAACCAAAGTTATCTCACCAAACCAAACCAATAAGCAGCTAATTTATCTATCTCATAATTGTGGGAATATACATATGTTGTCAACAATGTATACAAGAAGTAAATGAAAAAATAAGTTTGACAGGTCAAATTGTGGTCGAAATCACAGCTTATTAGGATAAGGACCGAACTATTGAATCCGCGTGGTCTTTAGTCATGCTTGACGTGTGCAGGAAACCCCTAGCCGCCATGAGCCGATTTGATTTGTTAAAATCTTAGATTTAAAAAAAATTATGTTTAGATAAGCCTTGCAATGCAAAATTATTGTTTCAAAAAATTATCTAAATTTTAAAGATCAGTTAAAAGCATATAGCTTAAAACAAATCAAATCGAATTTAATTAAAAACTTTTAAAGTTTTAGTTTAAAATTTGTACTGCAAATCTGGAACGCTGATGGCATCCGAGGGTTTCCTTCCTGGTTTGACATATCAAATCTTAGATTTTTATATCAATCAATATAGATATATATATATATTGCTTGTATGTTTCTCTGTTTGTTTGGGTTTAATAAACATCAAAACGGCTAAACCGATCATGCCCATTTTGTTGTGGCAACTCATATGACCCCAGGGTAGGTTACTAACTGGTAAAACTTGAAAGGTTTGTAGACATTTACGAACTTTGAAAATTCAGAAATGTTTTTGTTTATTGGAGTCCTCTGTATGAAAAAATAACGGTTTAAAAGCAACATTTAAGAGCTTAGATTTTTACTATAGTCTGATAGAATTATACTATCGTCTGATAGATTTTTACTATAGTCTGATAGAATTATACTATCGTCTGATAGATTTTTACTATAGTCTGATAGAATTATACTATCGCTTTTTAAAGAATTAAATCAAATGCGGAGATAAAAATAATACAATCTTGATAAATAATGTTATATATTATAACATCACGGCAATCCAATTTTAATCGTAAAGAAGTTGAGTTTTTGTCACAAACTTTGATTTTCTAATCCCTTTATCTTTATTCAACCTGATTTCGTAGAGCTTTGATATTTCAAATTATAAAATTCTGGTATATCAAGTAATATTAGTTTAAAATATCAAAGGTTTATAAAATCAGGTTGTAAAGATTTACGGATTATAAAATTTATGTTTGTGGCAAAAACTTAATTCCTTTATTCTACGAAAAGTGTAAAAATAAAAAAAGACAGCCAAAGGAATTGAGTCTTTGCCACAAACTCTGAAATTGTAATCCCTATATCTTCTAAACCCAATGTCGTAGACCTTAGATATTTCAAAGTATAAATTATGTTAGATCAAATATTCTTTGTTTGAAATATCAAAGGTGTACATCATCAGGTTACAAATATATATGGATTCGAAAATTTGAGCTCGTGACAAAAACTCAATTCCTTAGTTAAGCCAAAGATGAACATTTTGAAACTAATAAAAAACTGATAGGACCCAATTTCAAAGTAGGTAAAAAGGGTAAGGACATAAGATGAAAAGAGGTAATATCAGAAGAAGAAGGGTAAGAAAAACATAGATAGAAAAGGGGGGGAAAAGTACAAAAGGGGGAAAAGAAGAAAAACACGGAGAAAGGGACTTAGGAGTAAAGGAGCAAATAAGAGAAGAAAAAAAGGAAAAAGATATAAATAATAATGTATTTGTGTGTATTATGTTTTAATTGATAAATATATATTACAGATTAATGGGAGAAAAGATCTTGTTACCAATTGTTCATAAATATGATTCTTGTATCTTCATTATACATTATACCCACCAATCAGTGTTTCCTGCAAGAAATATGTACTTTTTAAGCAAATTATTTTTTTACTAGCAAATTTGTTTGATTATATTTTTTTGTTATGGCCGGAAAGTAATTGAGTCTTTGGAACAAAATCAAATATTTAAACCTCAATATCTTTAGAACTCGATGTTGCAAAACTTTGATATTTCAAACTCAGATTATTTGATCTAACAGAATTCATAGTTTGAAATATCTAAGGTCTGCAACATTGGTTCCAAAGATATAGGGATTAGAAAATCAGAGCTTGTGGCAAAGACTTAATTCCTTTACAATTAAAAGCTTTAATTACTACGAGAATTTTTTTTATATTTACACCAGCTACATCTTTAATTGAAAAACATGAAACACTTGATCCTTAGAAATGTTCACCCAGCAAATTTAGCTAATTTACACAATGAATTAGATTTTCTTATATTTTCTAATTTTGCATGGCAAAATTTCACACTTCTGAAGCATTACGCACTCATGCATTAAGCTATTTCAAATTGGAATTCTAAATGAATCAGAACGCTTCATTGACTTTTGTTTTAAATGAAAATACATTACTTTAACCATGAATGAAAATATTGAAAAATCTGCAGATCTGAAGGGAAGGACTGCTCTGAGAATCCAAAGATCTGATTGGAAGGACTACTCTGAGCATGTAGTATTTAAATATGTTCGACCCTTTCCCTCCTTCACTCCTAACTGTAAAGAAGAGAAGAATGCACGCTTTTATCATTCTAAACCTCGTTGTTCTAACTATTCTTAACTACACCTCTAGCGTTGGTAAAAAATATACGCTAAACTACATATAGATGTAAGCTGCCCCAAAATCAAAATTGAGGAAGTGTGTAGTTTTTGACGTGAGCCTGTGCGCAGCGCACCATATTTCAATATGAAAAATATCTCTGAGTATCACTTCTTTTTAGCGTGCACTTATGCTTATTTTAATTTTAAATTCTTAGAAAAACTTCAAAAACGACACACTACCCCAAAAGGGATTTTTGTGCAGTTTATACCATTGGCAATACCGCGAAACTAAATCTTAGTATGTTCAGGCCAAGATAATCTATATAAATAAAGCTCTTCGCTCATATATATTTATATGCTTAACAATTAGGCTATTAAAATTGGATTTTTTTTTCAAAATTAATTTGTATTTAAATTCGATTTTTTTCTTTAACATTCCACGGCCAACGCCGGGCGCTTCAGCATATATGTAGTATAATCTTTTATTAACTACACCTCTATCGTAAGTAAAATATACATGCGTAACTATATAAATCTAATATGATCTTTCATTAAAAAAAACATCGTAGCAAGTGTAAGAAACCTGCAACTTACTGTAATAATAACCTTTAAACAGCGCAACAAAAAAGTATTAATTGGAAAATAAGAAAACTCTTCATTTAATGGGGAAATGGACTCGAAAGTTTATTGCACCAAGTCAAACTTTAAGAATTTAATATCTTCAAAATATCCGATTCTCATATTAATTGCAAAGGTTATTTGCTTTTCTGTCAGAAATAAAAATTTGACAACCTCCAGCTTTTCACAGGACTGACTTGCAAGAAAATGACATGGCTAATATTTACAGATTTTTAAAATGAAATCTTTGTATTTTACGCTATATATTTTTAAAAAAATGAATTAAGACTTTTCTACAAACAAAATTGGTTCCTGATGCTGTATACTCTAAATATTTCAAACTTAGATTATTCAATCTAACATAATTCTTATAAAATGCAAGGTCTACAACATTAGGTTGCAAAGATATAGGGATAATAAGAACATAGTTTATGGAAAAGACTCATTTCCTTCAAAATAATTGAAGTGTTACTTAAAATTTAGTTAAAAGTCTCTTTAAACTGTTGTTTGTCTAGGTTGTAGTGTAGTAGAGGACCAGGGTAAGAATTGGGAAGATCTGGAGAAAAGTCTTGAATCCCTTAACGGACATTATCATCAAGAGAAGAGAAGTCTCCTCCCTGAAATTGAAAATATTGGAAACCCAATGTAAGACAAAGGAATTGAGTCTTTGCCACAAACTCTGATTTTCTAATCACTATATCTCTAGAACCAAATGTTGCAGACCTTAGATATGTCAAACTATGAATTCTGTTAGATCAAATAATCTGAGTTTGAAACATCAAAGGTTTACAACATCGAATTCTAAAGATATTGAGCTTTAAATATTTGATTTTGTTCCAAAGACTCAATTCCTTTGTTGTTATTTTTTGTCTTGTTTTAGTCCAAAATCGATTCAATATTTTGTCAAAACGATTTATCTTAACATTTACGATTACAGGGGTATCTACAAAGAATGAGAATTTATTGAATTGGATTTCTTTTCTTAAATAAAGAGTTTCAATTTGAGCTAGGTTGCTGAACTATCTACTACCGGATCAAATCTTAAATAACCGATCAAGTTAAAGATTCCTGATTAATCGGTGATTAAGGATTTGAACCGGGAGGCGGCAGTAGGTAATTCAGCGACCTCTCCAATTCATTAAATTCGGTCCCAGTCTCTACTAGAAACCCTTGAGGTTGATTTTCTGTGAGGTTCAGAAGAGTTTACTTTTTCTAATCTTAATCTTGTGCACTAAAGGTTGATGTACTGTGAAGTTCAGAAGAGTGTACTTTCTCTACTCTTAATCTTGTGCACTAAAGGTGTTGATGTTCTGTGAGGTTCAGAAGAGTGTATTTTCTCTAATCTTAATCTGGTGTACTGCAGGTTGATGTACTACTTTAAGATTCAGAAGAGTGTACTTTCTCTACTCTAAACTTTGTGTACTAGGTTAATGTACTGTGAGATTCAGAACTTCAGAAGAGTGAACTATCTCTATTCTAAACCTTGTGTACTAGGTTGATGTCCTGTGANGGGGGTGGATGTTGGCGCTGCCTGAAAGATATGCGGAAGAATTTTTATACATGTTCAAAAGTCAAAAATATTTAAAATTGTGTGAACTCTTTTAAAAAAATGAATCGATCTCACTGTAAACCTTTCATTTAAAAACAATTAGAATTGAGAAATACATTTCTTTCATTTCTAGTTTCTAAAAGTAACACTTGGCCCATTTCTAACACTGAGTGTTAGAAATGGGCACAAACTAGAAGACTGGGTTTTGGGATCCCAGCACATATCCAGATTTAAAGTCGATAATAAAAACTATATCCTGAATTTGTAACATTGTCGCGTTTTCGAGACGTTTTTGAGTATAATCCGCAATTCAAAACAAAACTCACTTTGATACCTTACAAAATAAATCACTGAAAACAAAAATTATCTTCAGAATTATTTCTAGAATCTACATTTTCCACATTTTATCTGTTAAAGCAGAGAATATAGATTTATTTTCAAGCATTTTAAACCAACAGCTTCCCGCTTTTCTAGTTAAATCTATATTGTAAGAACAAATTATGTAATATTTTGATTTTTCAGTGCTGTTATGATTTTTAAATTATAAAAGAACAGATTGTTTATATTTTCTATTTTAAAAAAAAATATTTTACTTTTTCAAAAAATCTTGTTATATTACGTAAGTGCTTAAATGCTAAAAAACTGACATTGATATGAATTCCGGTAATTGTTTCAAAACCAGGATATGTTCCAAAAACGCGACATGAGCTGAAATCCAGTATTTGTTTCAAAATAGGGATATGTTCGAAAATGAAAACAATTATCATCAAAAACTAATTCTCACACCTTATTTTTAGTTTAAAATTGACATTTATTGTTTCAATATATTGTTTTAGCCATTTTTTTTTATAAATATATGGTGTAATTTTGTTCTACTCGTCTTGGATTTAAAGATTCAAAGATTTAAACTCTTGAAAATATCCCCTGCATTTCTTTCAGGCAGGGTGAACCCAAGGGAAAATACTCCTTCTTTGTCAGGAAAAATGAGGGAGCAGGAATCAAATCCATCCAGGACTTTGACAGCAGACTTCTCACCATCTAGATTCTCACCCATGGAATTCTCACCAACTAGATTCTCATCCCTGGAATTCTCACCATCTAGATTCTCATCCATGGAATTCTCACCATCTAGATTTATCTATTCATGGATAAGATTGCTTCCCCTCTAGGTTTAAATGTGCAAGAGTGTCCATAACAAAACCAGGGTTAAAGGAATTAAATCTTTGTAACAAAATCAAATATTTAAACCTCAATATCTTTAGAACCCGATGTTGTAAACCTTTGATATTTCAAACTCTGATTATTTGATTTAACAGAATTCATGGTTTGAAATATCTAAGGTCTACAACATTTGGTTCCAAAGATATAGTGATTAGAAAATCAGAGTTTGTGGCAAAGACTCAATTCCTTTCAGTGCACTCCTTTCCAAACATAAATGCAAAAATTGCCAATTTCTCCAAATATTTTTGTCATCTTTCAAAATTGAATTTTTATAACATTACTACAAATTGATTCCAGTCTTTAAAAAAACACCATTGCCTAACTTATTTCTGAATTTGTCTAAATTGTGTTTTGAAAACTGCAGCTTAAAAAAATGACGTTTTATATTTTAATTGCACTAGTCTACCCAGCAATCAAAGTTTGATTAAATGGAACTGGTCGATAAACATTGATTGAATGTTTGCTGGGTAAAAATAAATTATTTATAAATATAACAATATTTTCTGTGCTCTCTCTTAATAAGTTTTATATAAGATTTCAGTCTTTATTGATGTAATCATGTTTAAAGTCAAACATTATTTTTTAGTCTCTAATAAAGAAATAAATTTGCTAAATTAATTCAATCCTTGAGAAAGCAAGAGTCAGCTATCTTTAATAAAAATTTATGTTGATAAATTCTTTCCGGTCCCCAAGTAACTTTGTTTGCTTCCTGGGACAGAATTTTATGAATTTGAACCACGTTATTGAATGACTTATTTCCGGTTTAAAATTTGAACCACACCGATTCAAAACTTAAAATTAAGGATCAGGATTTAAATCGGTGATTCAAATTTGAACCGGGAATAGGCAGTTCAAATTCAGAAAATTAATTCCCTGATTATTTTTTTGCTCCTTAGAATCCTTTTAGAACCCCAGAAAAGGCTGCTTTTTTATAACCCCGAATGTCAAATAGAAACTTATGACGCTTAAATTACTGTAACATAAAATGGCTGATTACTACTTATTACAAACTGAACAAATGTCCTAATTCATATTAGATTAATTTATATCTTTATCTATAATATATATATTGGTAAATTTAGTACACCTGGAAACCAGGCTTCCAATTAGCCTCAATAAATCAAAAATAAATATACATTTCTTCCTCCGCACACAACCAAGCAAAGTTCTAGGATAAAAACGTATCCTCCCCCCCCCCCCTTCAACAAAATATCATTCATTTCTCCTTCCTCAGCCAAAATGTGGTTTCTGGACCAATAAGAAACTACACAAAATATTATTGGACCAACAGACTTCAATATTCACAACCTGTACTCCCTGTACACAGGTATTAAAGGTATTCAAAGTTTTTATGAAAGGGATCCTATAACTTGTCGAAATTATGATATTTAAACAATCTTATGTTTATTTTAAAACTTTTAAAAGTTGCAAAAAATGCTGTTAAAATTCCAATATTTCAATCAAAGATAATATATATATAGATATGCAGACAGGTATAAATTTAGAGGTCTTGAGAAAATGTGCAAACAGCACCATCTCTGTCGTACGCATGGTTTGTCTGCTACAGGCAATTTAGGAAGGAGGTTTCTACCTGCCTGCATATCTATATATATATTATCTTTGATTTCAATGTTTTATTAAATTTCTAGCTTAGAAACCCAGCCTTGCCTGAAATTAAAGTTAATCCACTCCTCCTAGATTTAAAGTTAATCCTCCCAGAATTTTTAAAACCATGGGTTACCGAGTTGCCCAATAAAAATTTGAGGCAAATCAGTCAGCTTTTAGAAGTAATCCATTAGTCTTTTTTGTCCACTTTAGTCCCTGCAAATTGTAGGTATACAGGGTGTCCCATGAAACATGACAGTTGGCGAATAGTTTTGAATGTCTTCTTCCATTTACTGATTTGTATTGCAGTTTATTTCGTTAAAAATCTTTTACTCAAATAAATTTTACTATGTATGACTGCTATACAGTATTTTTTATTATTCTCTTTGGGGTTTCCAAAAATTTTTGCGAATTTCGATGTACATTCGACGAAATTTCCGACCTCACTTTTCGCAAAATTTTCGTATAGTTTTCGTTGGACACAAATCGAAATTTTCCCATTTCGAATTAAGAAGATTGTCGGATTTCGGCCAAGAAATTGTCGTAACCTAACCTAATTGGCTTATGATATAATTAGGGTGGGGGCTGCCCTCCAATAAGAGGAGGGGGTAATTTTTAAAAAAATCAATTGAACAAATATTTGTTTAAAAGTACTATATATAGTCTTTTTGAACGTTAGTCAAATCGATCATTAGTCCAATGAGTCCAATTGAAATAACACAAAATATTTATTTGTCGGTTTAGATTGTCGTCTTCATAATATTCGTCTTTACAGTGGACATACAAATTTTAAACAACACTTTTTTATTGAAAAAAAACATTTAACATTTTAGAAATCTTTAGACTTTAATATGGAATCCCATTTTGACGCATTTTGTGTATTTTTGTTGAGAAAATAAGGTGTCAGTCTCGACTGCGTAGTTTATTTACAAAAATTAAAAACAGCTGATCAATTAACTGAGTTCAGAAAAACAATCAACCTTAGCAACACAGATAAGATTAAGAAATATAAATTGAATATTTTTAAAGAAATTGGTTTTTAATTTATCTAAATTGAAAATTGTCAAATATTTACGAAAAATATTTTTCCTAACTCTAAACACAGCGTCTATTGCTATTCCTTCCTTTGCAGACTCCAGACCGACCGAATTTATTCAGACGCAATACATCGATGAACAAAGAAATAAACATTTAAACATATATATACAGGCTATCACTAATCTTTCAAGCATTTAATACTAATACACATTGTGATAAAAAATCCAATTGATTCATAAAGAAGTGTTCTATAAGTCGTTGTACGTGAAAATAAACAATATAAATTTTTCAATGGATTCCTACTCCACTCTACTCAAAACTTTCAAGGAGAGGAGGCCTTATGGTAAGCTTTAATTATGTGTTTAACCCATTTAAAAAAATAATAATTTTAATTATTAATTAATGGAAATTACTTTGATTGCGTGTCTGTCAACAAATTCCCTAATCTACAAACTGCCATAGCTGTAACCTTCTGCTATGCTTTATTATTACTGCAGAAAATATATGAATAGAACTAAATGATTTGAATTTAGTTTTGACTGGAGAACGCTAGCCTCGGTGCTCTAGTCTGTCCTAGCCGCAGCGCTCGGTCTATATAATTTTCGGGTCTGTCCTAGAGAACGATTTTTGGACCCCCCCCCCCCCTCCCTTTCAGGGATTGGGGAAAGGGGGAAGAAAGTATGAAGGCAAATAAGCGGAAGGTATAGAATGTATGGGGATGGAACGATGGGCGATAGTATATAGGAGGAGGAAGGTTGGGCTGAGTAAGGGGTTAGATTTCAGCCCTGCGGCTAGGACAGGCTAGGGGTCGGGCGCTGCGGCCACATGACTAATTATATCCTTGTGTTACATATGAGATCCATGCACAAAACTGAAAGTAGCGGGGGGAGATCTTAAAGCGTTATCTAGGACAACCCCAAGTGTTACAACTGATATATCTCTAAAAAGTTTATATCACTCTAAGTGACTTTTCCTGGTTAAAATAATGGGTCAATTGATAATGATAATAATTGATATTTAATATTTGATAATTATTAATAATATGTGATAATTGATAATTCATTATTCATTATTCCAGCTCTGCGAGTGAAAGATGTTGAACAAATTCGCCAAGAACACCCGAACAAGGTACGAATGTTTTGAAGAATTTTAAAAATTGGAGAAAAATAAGCTTTCCACTTTATTTTTTCAATTCAGCGCGCGAAATAAATAAATATTGATTAACAACCCAAGAAACATGACAGTAGCAAGACAACTTAACGTGGTCTTTAATTTTTATCTATTTTGCTGCATTAATTGTCAACGTAATTTTAGAAATTAAATTCTAGAGATAGTAATCTTAAAATACCCCTCGTCCGACCATTTCCAAATGTGGTCTGCATTTTTTGTGCTACTAATGATATGAAGAATTTTGTTCAGATTTCGGCAAGTTTGGTTTTATTTGACAAAATTTAAATATGAACAAAATTCTTAATATCTCCGGTAATATTGACAGCACTGTAATGCTTCGTGAGACACTGTCACACTGTGTATATTTATCGAACGAAGATGTTTACATTTTACTATGACGTGTGAGGACAGCTCTAAATAGTTAACAAACACAATTTAGGAAACTATGATTGTCCAAACATACATTCTACCAAGGCTTGTCTAACATACAGGGTTAACCACAAAGGATGACAATTAAGAGACGACTTATATTTAGGATTCGCTGCAAATGTAAATTGTTTTCTTTCGTTGCCATGTCAATAAATAAACCATTAAAATACATTATTCAAGTTTAAGGTCGTCTTCTCAGTCATCCTTTCTAGGTGCATAGATGGTTCCTTGTATCTTTTATTTCTCTGATTTCCTTTTTAACTAATTTAACATTTATTTGAGACCTAAGATCCAATTCAATCCTCAGATCTTCATAATAACTTTAAGGTCGCCTTTCAAGTATCATTCTTTGTGGGTAAAGCTGTACGTGACGGAAATACTGTGAACCAACTCTATCCCCCATACCTTGGTTCTTTTCCCATTGTTTGCCTAGATTAAATGAATTGAGTCTGGCCTTCTAATCTTTATACCAATGTGGTAAAGACATTAATTATTTAAAAGGTTTACACCATTAGGTTGCAAATATATAGGAGTTAAAAAATTGAGTTTTATTCAAATAAATGATTTTAATTTTTTAAAATTTCAGATTCCATGTGTGATAGAGAGGTTTGATCGGGAGAAACAGCTTCCTATTCTTGATAAAACTAAGTTCTTGATTCCTGATCATGTCACCGTAGGAGAGCTAGTTAAGATTATCAGGTAAAACAGATTCTTTTCCTGATTTCCTAAAAGGGACGATGGAAAATTCATGATATATTTTTTTAACAAGGATTATTCAATTTACTAATTTTTATGATTAGACGGAGATTACAGTTGCATCCTGCTCAAGCATTCTTTCTGCTCGTAAACCAGACTAATCTAGCCCCAGTATCTATACCAGTATCAGAACTATACAGGTATATATATATCTGGTAACCAGACTAATGTAGTCCCAGTATCTATACCAGTATCAGAACTATACAGGTATATATATCTGATAACCAGACTAATATCCCGGTATCTATACCAGTATCTATACTAGTATCAGAACTATACAGGTATATATATATATCTGGTAACCAAACTAATCTAGCCCCAGTATCTATACCAGTATCAGAACTATACAGGTATATATAATATATCTGATAACCAGACTAATGTAGCCCCAGTATATATACCAGTATCAGAACTATACAGGTATATATATATTATATATCTGGTAACCAGACTAATCTAGCCCCAGTATCTATACCCAATATCAGAACTTTACGGTATACATCTGGTAATCAGACTAATCTAGCCCCAGTATCTATACCAGTATCAGAACTATAGAGGTATATATATATATATCTGGTAACCAGACTAATGTAGCCCCAGTATCTATACCAGTATCAGAACTATACAGGTATATATATATATATCTGGTAACCAAACT